TCCTTCCTACCACTCTGGCTGTGTCCCCATCCAAGATTTTTAGAACTGCAATTCTCCATGTGACCAGCAAAGGGACATCTATCCCCACTGTGCCTTTCTGCTTTCTTTAATATTAAAATTCCTGATTTTTGAAATGAAAAAACATGTGTTATTCGTTAGAATAATTCATGAAACAGTATGGAGAGTGTGTCACCAATTCCGTTTGGAGAAGTCCTGTGTATGTGGAAAGACTGAACATAAGCTTTATTTGGCATTGACCCCGTATCTGTATTTGGCTCATTGATCCATCCCTTTTACTCACTGTCTTCCCTCACTGGTGTTACCTGATGTGTCCACACTGTGGAGTGGGCCCCTCTGAGAGAGCAGGCTGTTCCAGAACCCAGGACCTCACCCCTGGAAAGGCTTCCCAGACTTACCCTCACCCCCTCCCCGTCTTCCCCTCTCCAGGACGCTATGGACACAGCTGACCAGAGCAGTGTCCCCGAGTCCTGCTGTGATCTCAGAGGCAGAGTGTTGCATAGCAGCAGAGGTTGAGAGCCAAATATATCCCCTGGAAGGAATAGCAGTGCCTCTTAATGCTGGAGCTATTGGGAAAGTGGATAAAGACAATCATTCCTCCAAAACACCCTCAAAGGCAGCCCACCTCCTCTTCCTGCCAAGGCTTCACATCCTATGGATCCAGCCTGTACTTCTAGCCCTGTGTGCCAAGCCCTCTGTGCCCTGGGCAAACTGCACCATTGGCTAATCCCTCTATGTTCCAGTCACCCCAGTGTCTCATCAACAGGAAGGTGTTATATTTGCACAGGCCTTGTTTTCTGCACACACAGGATGGCATTACCTCTTCAGAACCACCCAGTAAGGGAGTGGTGTCAATACCCCCTTTTTGGTGAGGAAACTGTGTCTTCAAACCAGTAAGAACCAGGACTGGCCTTTATATCTTTTTTTTTTCCCATTATATTTGACACATTAAAAACTATATGTATTTAGGGTGTGAAACCTGATGTTTGGGTACATGCATGCACTGTGAAACGATTTGCCACAATAAAACTAGTTAACCTATCCATCTACTCCCATATTTACCACTTTTTCTGTGTGTTTGGTGATGACACTTGAGATCTACTCTCTTAGCAAATTTCAAGTGTACAATACACTATTGTTAATTATAGTTGCTATGCTGTACATTAGACCTCCAGAACGTATTCATCTTATAACTGAAAGTCTGTACATTTTGATCAGTATCCCCCCTTTCCTCCCATTTCCAGACCCTGGTAATCACCATTCTACTCTGTGTTACTAAGAGTTTGACCTTCTCAAAGAGTTTCTACATATAAGTGAGTGTATATGTGTATTTGTATGTGTATATGTATATGTGTGTGTACAACACACACACACACACACACACACACACACACAGTGGAATACTATCCAGCCTTAAGGAAAGAAGGAAATCTTGGAAATCTTGCCTGTCCTTTGAAGGGCAGCTCTTAGCAGTACTTCATGAGGAGAGCACAGAGCTGGGAATCAGCAAACCTGAGCTCTAGTTCAAGTTTATGAAACATGTAAAAGTGCTCAAAAATCCTCAGGCCAACACCTCATGCAGCCAGAGTTGATGATCCTGGTTCTCATTTTACCAGCAGTTGCTCCTTTCTTTAAGAGACACCTGCCAAGCAATACAAATATTCCTACAGCCATACTAAAGCAGTATTTTATTAAGCTATATTTTGTTTCATAAACTAGGAATAGGAGTAGGATATTATCCTGTCATTATCATATCTCTGAAATTAATTGTGTGACTTTGGTCTCTTACTAGAATTATGTATTAGATTTTTCTTTTCTTTTTATTAGTGTATAGGAGATGCCCAGATTAGATTAATGTGTTCAGGGGCATTACTACATGAATATGCAAGTCTAATTAGAAAGAGATGAGCAATAAACATTAGTTGCCCTTAGGGAAAAGAGAGAGAGAGAGGGAGGGAGGGAGAGAGACATCTATGCCCACCTAGCTTTCTCTCCTGTCCTTCTCTCAGCTGGAAGAGGCTGTCCGGTCCACAGGCAGTGGGGTCTCAAAAATAGCTCTGACCATCTGTGTCCTTCAGAGGAGTCCACCTCCCAAACGACGCCCCTACCGAGCCATGTGAGGACATACCAAGAACTGCCTTCAGAATTAGGTTCCAAGTCACACAAAGACGGAAGTGTCATCCCCACACAGGGATTTCCCATGCCTCTGAGAAGGAGGCATGAGCCACCCTTATTATTTAGGCATCACATTCATAGCTGGCCAACCTGATTTAGGGCCCTGATTTTCACTCAATTCTTACATCAGCATCCTCTATGTTCAGGGCTTCCCTAACAGCTGACACCTCCCTAGCTGACACCTCCCTCTCCCTACTGCCCAGAAGCACAAGCCCTCAGAGCCTCACAGAACACATCTTCATCCACACAAAACAACTCAGGGAGTGGGAGAAGTAGAGGCAGCCCCTGGGGCCCACGCGGGGTTCACCACCCCCAGTTGATGGCATCTCTTTACAAGTAAGTCATTTGCCATCTCTTCTCCTGATCCGTGAAGTTTGGGATCATGGACTAAAATCAACACCCCATTTCCACTTAAGTAAGGTGTTTTGTGTCCTCTCATTTTACCTGCCGGTTAACATCAAAGAAACATGTTTTCTCTTTGAGCTCTTGGAGATACTGCAGAGGAACAAGAGCTGTGAATCTGTAAGTTTAATGACCATCTCAGAGGACTCTCCCATGAGGCACATCTAGGGAATATGAGCAGATCGGATGGGCAATAAAGACAAAAGCTGGGTAATACCTGGTGTTGCTGGAATGGAGGGGAAAGGGCACTCCCATACACTGTTGGTGCCAAATGGTGCTTTATTTGTCCTCTGGAGCCCATCAGGTTATGGCTTATAACCTGAATGGCCTTCCATACAAAAGTCCTATTTCCACCTTGTAGGGAGTCTCAGACAAGGGTTAAGAAAAGAATCAGCAAAGTGATTCTGAAGTATCCAAGTTAAGGGGCCCTGGCTGAGGGGGCAGGACAAGTTGCCACAGGAGTTCCCAGCTCCAGGGAGGAAAGACAGCTACTCTTTACGAAGGAAAATGCTTACAAGGGGTCCAATTCCAGTTTTTTCATTCAGTGGCTGGATTGAATCTCAGGATAACCCTGGTAGTGAGATATGGCTATCCTCTCTTTGTGGGTGTGTGTGACTCCAAAGCACATGCTCCTGAGCAGAGACACACATGGCAAAGAGGTTACGCTTCTTTCTGCAGACCTCTGCAAAGAATGGATATGACAACATTATCAACATTAATCCCTGATGTAATACCACCTCGTTAGAATGTTAGGATGCTTTTCATTTTTTCCCCATCTCACTTCTCTCTTAATGACATATTTTCCACACACATTTCTAAATGGTTAGCTAATGATCCCATTGTATGCCTCCCAATATGTCCTACAGTAATTCTAGAGTTTGAAAAGCAAATCTGCTCAGTGCGTTTGCGTTCAGACAGCATCCTGTTTAAATGGAAATTGGTTGGGATGGGGCAATGAGAACTCCATATACTGCTGGAGAAGAACTAATTTGGTACAACCTCTTCGCAGAGACATTAGGCAACATCTATCAGAGAGGAAAGTGGGCTCCTGTCAGCGGCCCCACTCTTATTTCTGGCCTGCAGAGAACTTCGGAACCTGTGCCCCAGGAAGCACGTGTAAGAATGGACATGGTCATATCAAAACAGCCCCACAGTCACCTTATTAGAGAAATCTCAGAAACACTGTTTTCAGAGAAAAGAGGTTGTCAGGGGGCCCTTACACTATGAGATCACTTACATGTTTATAGCTGAAACATGAACACAATTATATATGTGCAGTATTCTCTCTCACAGCATCTCTGTGAGGATGGCATCATTATACCCATTTGACAGATGACAAACTCAGACTCATCACAATGGAAAAAATCCATCTTCCAGAGTCATCTAGGCAGGAACAGGAATGGCATTGTACCTCTTACACTCCCCAAAGGGCAACCAAAGCTCTCCTTGATAGATGACAACCCTCTAGGACTTGAAAACTTGCAGTTTTACACGTTTCTAGTACTGTGCCCACGTGGGTACACAGCTCCCCAACCCTTCTCTTTGAAGAAGCTCCCCAACCCTTCTCTTTGAAGAAGCTCCCCAACCCTTCTCTTTGAAGAAGCTCCCCAACCCTTCT